ATAAAATTTTCCATTGATTTTATTTTGGAAGTGAATTGTCAATTCAAATTTACATTGAAAAATAAGATAAATATAGTCATGATGTTTTGACTGAGATGCTATGCTGGTTTTGGCTGGGGTAGAGTTAATTTTCTTCATAGTAGCTAGTATGCGGTTATGTCTTGCATAGACATATGCATCTCTGTGCTGGAAACAGAGAAGTTTTCGTTATTGCTGAGCAGTGTTCACACAGAGTCAAGGCCTTTTCTGCTTCTCACCCCACCCCACCAGCGAGTAGGCTGGGGGTGCACAAGAAGTTGGGAGGGGACACAGCTGGGACAGCTGACCCAAACTCGCCAAAGGGATATTCCATACCATGTGACGTCATGCTCAGCATATAAAGCTGGGGGAAGAAGAAGGAAGGGGGGAACGTTCGGAGTGATGGTGTTTGTCTTCCCAAGTAACCGTTACGCGTGATGGAGCCCTGCTTTCCTGGAGATGGCTGAACACCTGCCTGCCGATGGGAAGTGGTGAATGAATTCCTTGTTTTGCTTTGCTTGCGTGCACAGCTTTTGCTTTCCTATTAAACTGTCTTCATCTCGACCCACGAGTTTTCTCACTTTTACTCTTCCAATTCTCTCCCCCATCCCACTGGGGGGGAGTGAGTGAGCAGCTGTGTGGTGCTTAGTTGCCGGCTGGGGTTAAACCATGACAGATGCTCACTCAAATCTGATTTCTAAAGTTAATGGAAGAATTTTTACTTTGATATGCATATTAAAGATGGCAATCCAGAACTGGGACTGAACCGTGATGACACTGCCTACTTATTGGATGTCTCAACTTCAACACTGTAATCCTGCAGTGTCAAATCCTTGAATCCAGAGCCCTTGCAGGATTCTGTAATCCTGCAAGCAGTCAAAACTAACAATTTATCCTCCCTTCTCATTTGCCACCATGTTGTTTGTTTTACTGTTTTTCCACAAATAAAACTGCTGCAACCACACAACCCAGGAGGGACTGATGCTGTATCTGCCACCAATCCCAACCTCTTAGATATTATTTCTACATCAAATAAATAATTTTTGACAAAATGGAAAGCCTTTGTACATGTCACGGTTTTGAAAAACAGACATAACCTCAAAAAGACCCAGAACTGTCTTGTGGCTAAGGCAGCCAAGGGGAACTTACAGCATGTGGGTTGCATTCTTGACTATGCCACCGCCTTGTGCTACCAGAGGTGAACCACCCCTCTGTTTTAGTCTTTCCATTTTCAAAAATTGACATAAAATTAATAATTTTATATTTCCATCATTCTTTCTAAAATAAAACTAATAAAATGAGTATACAACAACAGAAAATACTTTTATTCAACAGTGTCTTCCTAAACTCTAGTCTCTTTCTTCCCTTCCACACTGTTTCTCTCCACTAATACAGCTGCATAATGCACTCTGAACTCTCTACAGACAAAAAAAGAACTAGTAGTATTGGTTTGCAAGCGGAGAAGCAATGAAATTAACCAGAGTTGAAAAATTATTGTACAGGCAATTTCTAGCTTTTGAATGAGAATTTTGCACATCTGCCACTTTGGATGTTTTTCAGACTTGCTGCTTTCCAAAGACCAGTGAAAGGCTCACTTGAGCAGGGTTTCCTTTTTCTTTTTTAATATCAAGTTTTGTAATTGAGACAACTGAAGCACACAGAGAGTACAGTTGTATGAATAAAAAAAGAACTGAAAATGTGTCCTGATTGTTTTCCAAAATTACAAACAGATTTCGGATGTTATTTCTATAGACAAGGCAGGAATAGAAATACAGGT